CATTTCAGCCTTACCTCCCAGTTCTACTTTTCTTGAATGAGCTTTCCTTCTTGCCTAGTTAATTCCAGTAAGAAGACTAGAGTGGAAGATCAGTGTTTCTACATCAGAGTGTGATTTAGACTTTCACATCAGTGGGATAATTTGGAGTAATGTAAATCTAAATGAAAAACTTGATTTAAAAATAAAACCCCCAGTTTATTTTTATTAACTCTCTTTCTATGTCTTTGATGATATCACAGCAGGCAAAGATTAAAGAGAATCAAGATTTTTAGTGGCAAGGGTTTTTTTTTGTCATTATTCATCATTTCAAGAAAAATACCCCTTTAAAAAAAAATCTTTGTATCATTTGGTTGTTTAGGAAGTGGACTTGGAAAGAGTTTGCAAACTGTGTTTTATAAGGAAATCTGAGCTGCTGGTGTCCGTAGCAATGTTTCCAAATATAGTTCCTTCCAGATGTTTTGGATTTCAACTTCATTATTCCTCCTGGCACAGCCAATGAGATTGGAATTGAGGTTGAACACACCTGGAGGACATCAGGCTGAGGAAGGCTGATTTATAAGATTTGGGGCTTAACAATTTCATGCTGTTCCCCACTCTCCTTGATGGGCAGCTGAGCAGGAAGAACTCTCTGCCCTTTCCCCTAATTTTACAATCCTTAAAGGTGCTTTGAAGTACTTTCACCATTAAAATCTACTATCAGTTCATGTGTGCTGCTTAACAAAACCTGATAGATATTTTCTCTGGCAGTTATTAACAATCTATGTGCATATTTTTCCTGAAAAGGGCTTTTCTTGAAGACTTTTCATTATCCCACGGTCCTCCTCCTGCAGTCATCTGTTTGTGTAATTCTTCATTCCTCTTTCACTTTCTACACCTAAACATGGCCTTTTATATTTTTCCAAATATCTCTTTGTCCCCTTTCCCTTGACCCCCAGCTGCAAAAGGTATATTGTACACAGAAGCTTAGTTTATACATTGTGGGCTTTTGTGTCCCTCAAAGATTCTAACTGTCAGTAATGAACTTCTTAGGTCCCTAAGAAGACCCTTCTTAGGTCTCTAAGATATAGAGAATGATCTTTGGCTGCCCCCATTCCATTTTAAAGCTACTGAGACTGAAACACAGTAAATGCTCTGGAAGCGTGAAGAAATCAGGAGTAAGTGGATTATGGTTTGCTTGACCAGCTCCCCTCTTACACTGTCTCCTAGCAGGAAGTGAGCAATAGTGGCCTGTTGCGAGCCAAGGACTCCATCACCAGCCTCAAGGAGAGGACACCCAAGGTCAACTGCCATGTTCACAATCTGCAGGTCTGGAGACTATTGGTTGTTGTATAGACCACATAGCTGAAGTCTTAGACTCCCAGACTAACCATGCCTGTTTCTGCTTTTACTGGTACTTCAAGGTTATTACGTTAGTTGAGGGGGTTCCTGTTAACCACTCATGCTTTCTTTCCTCTTATTACATAAAATAATGCTCAGAAGGCTTCTGAATCCAAACTTGATCACTATGTATTTGTCAAATAGAGCCTCAGGCCAGCAAAGCCCCATAGTTACCCAGCACTAAGAAATATGCACTGTGGTAGCGTAAACTACAAAAAGGCCAATCTGTTTTTCATTTTTAAGTTAGAGAACCTAAACCTAGGACACCTAAAAAAAACCAAAAATTTTTTTACACTTTCTCCTACTGACTTTGGTGACCTCACAGAGTTCCTGATGTTGCTCAGTAATTCTTAAAGTGACACAGGGGCAAGATGCATATACATATGAGATGGAAGTGTTACCTCCCAGCACCTTCATATTATTTTGCCTTGCAGACATATAGTATCTAAGCTCTACACTTGTTCATTCTGGCCATTCCCCTTCTGTATATATCTTCCAGTGCCCTAGGCATGGATGACCCAGGACGTACCCTAAATTCAAAGCTTTCCTCAGCATGAATCTCAACATGGAGCTTTTCTCCCATTCACAGTTTGCCTTAGGAATAATTAGTTAAAAATATGGAAGTATGTAAATTTTAATGGGATAACTGGGATTAGGTAACAGTTGAGTTTCAAACATTAATGTTTGTCTAAGTTCTCCTGGATTTTCTTCTTTTTTCAGAGATGATGAAAGTTTTGTTTAAGTTGAATAGGTAAAACATTATAAAGTTTTATTGGTCTAAACATGCAATGTGCAAAACTTCTGCTAAGGTTATTTCAACATTAGAAGAGACTTTCTCTTCACCTTTGCTAGCTTTTTCAGACCCCCTTCCTTCCTTTTGGGTTACTTGCCTTTTGCTTTACCTGTGTGCAGAGTGAGTGCTCAGTGTTGTGTGGAAACCTGGAGCGATGCAGGCAGGAGGCTGAAGATCTGGAAGAATACTGTATCCAGCTCGAGGTGAGCAATGCATTGACTGTTCTAATATTTATTAAGGCTCATAGATTCCCTGGTTTTTAGTTTAATTAACTATCTTTTCCAAAGTAAAAAAAAAAAAGTCTGGTCCTTTACTCTTTTGACACAGAAAGTGCTGTAATAAGTTTTGACGTTACTGCCTCTGCCTGCATTTTTCCTTCTCATAGTTTTCCAATAGTGCCCTTCATTCATATTTAAATTCCACCTTTCAGGGCATACTGCGTTTGTACCTAAGTTTAAAACAGTCTTCCACAATCTTGTTCCATTTATAACTACAGTTTTCAGAATTGACATCCAACATGATCCCATTGACTTCTGCTGGCTGAAAATACTGGGGATATAATCCTAGAGGGCAGTAAATTGAGGAAGACTAAAACATACAGTGGGGCAAAAAAGTATTTAGTCAGCCACCAGTTGTGCAAGTTCTCCCACTTAAAAAGATGAGAGAGGTCTGTAATTTTCATCATAGGTATACCTCAACAATGAGAGACAAAATGGGGGGGAAATCCAGAAAAT